GCAGTCGACGGCGAGAGCAGGAGCGTTCGTCGGGTCGGCGGCAGTCGACGACGGAGTGAGGAGAAGGGATTTGAGATCGGTTTTTTGGGGAGAGAGAGATGGATTTGGGGATTTGGGAGAAAGAGAGAACTTCAGATCTGACCAGGACCGTATCTCGTTATTAAATGTAGCGGAGGAAATTTTGCAATAAAACCCATTCGATCCCACCCACCCACACACACTCTCTCTCCTACTTTATGAGGATGGTGGAGATTGTGCCACATAGTCGTCAAGGAGGAAACCCCCTCCTATGACAAGGATACCCATTAATCTCTCTCTCTATATATATATATATATATAATGAACACTCCTAGGTGAGAAATTTTGTGAGAACTTGTAAATTTCATCTTATCCACAACTCACACCATTCACCTTATTCAACATACCCAAATTAGTCTATGAAAGAGAGATCAAGTAGTTTAGAAACTTCATATTCAAATTAAGTTGCAAAACACATGCAATTTTATCTGTAAAATAAACGGCAGAGTTAACGTTTTAACAAGTTTTGAAATGTTTTGATCTATATAGTTTAGGATAATTAGGATGTATAGATTAAAAAGAGGGAAATAAGAACTCTAAAGAGTGCCCCATTGTGGAGTTTGTATAAAGCATATGTTGAGAACGAGAAGTAACACAATATCAAAGTCACCTAGTGGAACACGAGGATTTGGCACTAAACCTGTTCAAACCATTTAATCTCAACCAAAGATAGAGCAAGAGACGTTTTTAAGAATAAGCAACATAACTGAAGAACAGACCTAAAGCTTGAATCACATAAAACTTGTTATTGTTTTCTCCAACATTTGTCTGATTAAGAGTGGCATCATAAATTTCCTGGCCCTGCATCAGCAAAGGATGTTAAACTAAGTCAGAAAATAAATACAATACAAAACCATTAATGTCTCCCTGTGAAATATCTAGTATGTGAAATAAACATGTATAATATTCACAAAATAGAAGTTTAATTAAACTACATCATGACTTGTTAATTGCATAGTTAGATAAGTTACAAGTATAAAGTTGTTGGACTAATTTGTAAAAATTGCCCAGCCCGGGACCTTAATTAATTATCAAAAGTTTAGTTAAATTGTACCCATGCAGCATTAAGCTTCTAGCTCTTGTTATAGGCCTTTGAGTGAAACTATCTAGCTAATTCACTGCCAGAAATGAATCTGGGCTAGTTTACGCATCTACTTGCATGGGTTTTGCAAATCTCTCTTGCCATTATTCACTGACATCCAAGGACAAAACTTTAAAATACATGCTCACAGGAGAAACTTTCATGCAATCTTCCGCCAGTGATGATTGATTCTTCCAAAAAAGAAAAGAAAAAAAACGTTCACGCAATCTTCATGCAGATACAAGTGACCAATAACTTAAACAAGACCCATAACTGATTTTCAACTCACCCATTGCAACACATGAAAGCTTGACTTTATATCATCTGGAAGCCACTGATCCAACACTGCTCCACCCTTCTTGGTTGCAGTGATTAACTTCTCCTCCTTACATTCCTCAGCGCCTTTCGCTGGAAATCATAGGTTAACACCAGGAATAAATCAAATTCATGACCTTATAACAAAAAAAGTGATATCACATGACGTTCTAAGGGATATGAATGACTGCAATGCAAGTCCATGTATAAAGGATGCTGGTTATGGGGTTCTGAGTTAGACTGGGACCACTCTCAATTGGAAGCCAAAGCCAACTCAACTTACCTGTTTGGAGTATCAGCAGCCTGTGGGCATGGATTATACAATAATGCCTTACAAATTTGGATTTGTAATCTATAGGTTATGATTAAGAAAGCAAGTAGCATGAGGGGTAAGTAAAACTCCGGATTTATATTCCCTTATTGATTCTTAAGTACTATATCTTCTCTCTTTGCACTGCCCACAATTCATTTTCTTAGTGAGAAAAATCATCAATAGTCAAAATAGTACCCTGCACCTAAGTGGACAAACTTTGATGATCATTGTTTGGATATTGGATAAAGCAAGCATCACAAAAAGTCATCTTCCCCGGCTGCAAATGCAGGTACATGTTAAAACTTTAAATTTGAAAACTGCTGTCATAAAGATCATTTTTAACAGATCTTTAAATTCACTAAATCAACTTGTTATCATATATGAGATATACCCTGCTAATATTATACAAAAGAAAAGTTTACATTTAATACCCTAAACTCCAAACGTTTCTATTCCAATTCCGCTGAGTATATCTTAGTGGTCTGTGCTGAAAATAAAACCTGTAACTTTGATGAGAGAGGATAAGCATAGAACTTTTTTACCAAAATTTAAATAAATTTTAAAAAAGAACATATAATCATAATGATGCACTCTATGTAAAAATCTTAAACCAATAAGCATCAAAAGAATATTGAACCTTCATGATTCTCCTCTGAATCCTTGTCCATATCAACCGAAAGCCTCTCTATTAGTTCTTTCTTAGTTCCAGTTTGCAGGAGGCCTCGACGGGCAGCTAACTCCCGGAGTTGGCGCACACCAATCTTCTGAAGCTTCTCGATCGAAATTATCTCCTCGCGCTTCTCATCAAGCGCATCCCTCGACCTCTTGCTTCTTCCATTGGGAGTACCAGTTTTTGAAGAATCTTCTGCTTGCATAACCAAATTTCAGTGCTCACCCAAATATCATCACAAGTAAAACTTATTAGGCTTTTACCCCCGCACACCCCCAATTCAACCATATTGCAAATTTACCCCAAAACTTAGGCATTAACTAACTTACCCCAACTCTACCGCATTGAACTAAACATACTAAGCAATATTCCTAATTTTACAGTTAGTTTTTCTAGCTGAAACTTTTTCCTTCTGCCATTCAAAAACCAACCACATTGAATTTAGGGGTGTTTTTAACTCAATGTCGTAGAATTGACAGGTAAGTTAGCAAGTATCTCAATTTTGACGGTAAATTTGCAAATATGGTTGATCTTGGGGGACTAAAACCCCTTCTATTGAATTTAGTCCACAAAACCCTACCCATCACAGCACAGACAACTTCTTCCATGAGATTTCCAAAAATACTACGAACTCTTTGACCAAATAAGAGGCAAAGATTGCCCCTTTAATGTACGCAGCATTTAGCATTTTACCTTCAGCTTCAAGGGTTCTTTTAGAATCCCTTTCCCTCTTCTTGGTTCCATTCGCGACATCTTTAGCCGATTCCTTCTCCTTCTCTTCTTCTTGCTGAATCGCCGATTCTAGCCTCTTGACCTGAAACAGGAACGATTCTAGAGAGAGAACCCAAGAAATTTTCTAGAGAGAGAGAGAGAGATAGAGATTTGGGGATTACGAGAATGGGTTTGGTCCCGGTGTCGTCGAGACCTCGGAGCTTCAGCTGAGAGCGGAGCTCGTCTACCTTGAGCTTGGAAGCCATGATGAGAGCTCGCTCTTCTTCTCGGGGGGCGAGATGAACGAGAGGGGGTTTTATAAGGGTTTTTCTGAAAAGAGTAAAACCAAAATAAAAATGAATCTTCTCGAGGAAGGAGACGGCCGAGTGGGCTTGGGCGCGCGTAACGCAAAATTTAGCAGAGACCAAATGAAAATACGGACGGGGTATCAAAATGTAATAGAAGTAGAACATCAGGGTATCAAAGTGAAAAATAAGGGTGAATTATGGGGGAGAACAAGGAAAAGAAGCTGAAATTTTGCTGATGGAACATGAAGCCCAGCCCAATAAGGGTCTTTTGGGTTGGATCCAACTTGGATTTGACAAAAGATTGCCCTCCTATTTGACAATGTAAAAGTTTGAGATAATGCTCTTTTCCTACCCTTTGCTTTAGGAGATGAGAGGGACCCAAATATTCCTTTGCAAGATTATATGCATAAAAAAAATGTGGTGGAAACATCGTGCATCCAAATCCTATGACCCAAGGCATTAATTTATAAAGCTAGTCATAATTTATTTAATTTTTTTTCTTGAAGAAACATTCAAGTTTGATTAGGTAAGTCATCAATTAGCACCAAGAAGAAGAAAAATTACAATAACTTTGGGTCCACACATTCAAGTTGATTTAGTCTACTATAACAACAACAAGAAGAAGAAAAATTACAATTCAACACATAATTGTTTCTAAAGGAAAAATTGTAGAGCCTTTGCTTGCAATTATCTTATCTCAAATAAGAGCGACAAGATTCAGTTTCATGTTCTTTATTATAAATTTACAGTAATTCCTTGTCTAAATTCAGTAACTTTTCGTATTCGGATTCAGGTCGATCCGATCGGGTTATCGGATAATGGAGCTCCGTTTCACCCCTAACGTCCAACTTCAACAAGGGTTAACTGTGGTTAGTCCCTTGTACTATCGCCTAATTGCAGATAGACCCCCCCTCCCCCTCAGTTCTATTGTTCCAGATAGACCCCTGAGTGAAAATCTTTTGATTATTTTGCCCTCAGAGAAAGAGAAATTTATTTTTTTTCCCGATAAATAGACCTCATGTAAAAGAGCCAAACAAAAGATTCACTAAGGGGTCAGTCTACAACAATAGAACTACGGGGGGCCCATCTGCAATTAGACCAATTCAAAATCCAATTCCCGCCAACTTGAAAACTCACCAATAATCCCCACAAGAACACGACCCATCTCTAAAATGATGAAACCTATTTGTATCTCTAACCACAATCTCCCTCTGCACAACCTTAGCCATCAACTTGAGCGCATTGTGACAATCCCTGCAAACCCTCAGGTTCTTCTTCACCCTCACCGTCGCCCCCTCCGGCAAACTTATCAGCGCAAACGCTACTGCGAGCCTCTCGCTGTGCATCGACAGCAACACCTCCTTCTCTCCTCTCTCAACATCATGGAGATCAACCTCCAACATCGGCACATACCCGAGTTTCTTTATGCCCTCCTCTAACTCCTTCAACTTTTTATAAATCTCCTCACTCCTCTCATGACTCCTATCTCCTACAATGAATGTGTGAACTCTGTCTTTGAGCTCAACCCAACTCATCCCTGGCTCCTTCTTCACTTTGCCCTCCTTCATCGATCGCCTGACTTCTGACGCGTATTTCCATTGTCCTACGGACGCGTAGGTGTTTGCCAGGAGAATGTGTGTGCCCGATTTCTCAGGTTCGAGAACGAAGAGCATTTCAGCAGCTTTTTTGCCTAGTTCTATGTCTCCATGGACTCTTGCGGCATTGAGGAGAGCTCCCCATACTGCTGCACTGGGCTCGAAGGGCATACTGTGAAGTAGTTCTGTTGCTGATTTCAGGCGACCAGATCGCCCATAAATGTCGATCATGCACGCGTAATGCTCCTGAGTGCGTGATACCCCGAATATCACTTCTATCGAATTGAAGAATTTTTCTGCCTCATTGATCAGACCAGCGTGATTGCAAGCACAAAGAACGCTAGTCAGTGTGATGTGGTTCGGAGAGATTTGGTTTTTTAGCATAAGATCGAATAAGTTCAACGCCTCCTTCCCATGCCCATGTTGTGCTAGTCCTCCGATCATAGCAGACCATGAGACAGTCCCTCGCTCAGGGATCTCTTCGAAGGCTAAGCCTGCATCTTCAATGCTCCCACATTTGGCATACATATTAACTAAGGCGTTTCCAGCGAAGATGTCGGATATGAAGCCTAATTTGACAATGTGAACATGGACTTGTTTCCCTTGCTCGTAGGCTGAGAGGCTTGCGCAGGCATTGAGAATGCTACTCAAGACGAATGAGTCTGGATTCAGATTTTTTTCGAGCATTTGACAGTATAGTTTTATTGATTCTTCTCCTTGCCCGCTTTGAGATTGTGCTGTGATCAGAGACGTGAAAGAGAACACATCCCCAACTGGGCATTCGTCGAAAATCTTGCCGGCTTCTTCTATACAATTACTCTTCCCATATGCGTCGATGAGCCCGTTAACTACATGAGAATCCGATAAAAGCCTGCATTTTATTGCGAGAGAGTGAATCTGATTGCTCATAGAGAGAGCATGCAAGTTAGCTGCAGATTTGAGAACTGCGGTCAGAGTAGTTCGGTTAAAGCTCAATCCTTCCTTCCTCATCTCTGAAAAGAGTTCGAGAGCCTCTTCATCACTTCCACAGTGTGAAAACCCTGAGATTAGAGCATTCCATGCTACCAAATCCTTCTCCTTGATCAAATCGAAAGCCTTTTTCGACTCTTCTCTACAGTCACATTTGGCATACATATCAACAAGCCCGATACCAACAAATCCATCAGAGTGAAACTCATTCTTGATCAAATTAGCATGTATCTGTCGACCTAATTCCAGCATTTCCGTACCAGCACAAGCCTTGAGAATGCTTGACAATGTGAAAACATTAGGAATCATTCTTGACACCCTCATATCCATAAAAAGACTGATTGCCTTTCGATCACACCCATTGATCACGCACCCAGAGATAAAAGCATTCCAAGAGACAACATCGCGTGAAACCATCTCACCAAAAACGAATGAAGCATCCTCAATCTCCCCTAGTTTCGAATACATATCAACCAATGCATTGGCAGTAAACGGGTCAGACTCAAATCCAACCCGCTTCAGCAACCCATGAACCGTTCTCCCTCGGAACAAATCACGCGACTCAGTGCACGCGTTGATCACAGTCGAGAACCCAAACTCTGTTGGCCTAATCCCATCCCCAAACATCTCCACAAACAAATCCACAGCGTCTCTACAAAGATCATTTTTTACAAACCCAGACAGCAAACCATTCCAAGAAACCGCATTTTTATCCGCAATCCCTCTGAACAACCTCAAAGAATCCGATAACTCCCCAAAATTCGCGTAAAACACAACAAGAGTATTAGCAACAAAGACATCTGATTCAAACCCGGTAACGATCGCAACCGCGTGGATTTGCAATCCAGCAAGGAAATCGGGCACGAGGGATGAGGCCTTGAGGAGGGTTGGGAGGGTGAATTGGTTGCAAGGGACGTCGGAAAATCGCATTTTGATAAAAGTTTTGAGGGCTTCGAGGGGTAAGGAGTTGCGGGTGTAGGCGGAGATGAGGGAGGAATAAGAAATGTGATCTGGGCCGGGAATTTCATCGAACAGGTTACGAGCAGAGAGGGGGAGGTTGTGACACGAGTAAAGGTTGAGGAGCTGGTGGATTGACGCTGGGTTTGAGAGATGGCCGGATTTGAGGAGGTGGGTGTGGAGTTGAAAGGGGGAGGTAATGGAGTTAATGGGAGTTAAGAGGGGGTTGATTGGGGTCTGAGGGGGTCTAGAGAGGGGAATTGTGGTGTTTGAGGAGAGAGAGGAGATGGGTTTTGGCTTTAAGAGGCGAAAAGAGTTCATTATTTGTGAATTGTTCCCATCGGATTTGATTGAGATTTGAGAGGAGGGTTTTGATGATGGTAGTTGTTTCTGTTGGGTTTTTTTGGAGGGAAAATGTCTGGAGTTTGAATGAACTGTTGAAGGACAGAACGTCGGGTGTTCCTATTATTGGGTCGGGTCGGGTACCATGTGTTCCTGATCCGAACTGGACACTTTTTTATTTATTTTTTCTATTTCCTTTGTCCAGTGGTAGAAACCTTGCATACAGATCTCTTAGCTAATATTTTTGCTTTTCTTTAATGGCACGCACCTCTCTCAATTTGGGGTGCTAAATGGTATCCATATCCGAGGAAATATTCGTAATTGTATCATTTACACTATAAATATGGTTACTTAAATTAAAAACCAAAAGTGTTATGATGTTTCCATTCGCTAAAGTGCAAACTCATAGCTAAGCAATGAACGAGTGCTTCTGCATGCTAGGCCCCAATCAACTTGGCGGTCAGGGACCAGTAGGGACGACCACTCCGCTGACTCGACGACTCGACATTCCTTCATGTCAACTCGAAAAGCGGAATGTGTCGCCTCCCTTTTGTCGAAGACAACTCCCCACGAGTCCACTCGACCATTTGCCAGACGCCTTCCGAAGCCGACTCGAAAGATGTTACTTCTCGCTGAAGGAAAATGTCATCTTCTGCCTCGAGCTTGTCCTCGCTAACTGTTGTGCCCAGCGGAAATTTCGGCAGAGTTTCTGGTGCACAATAAGAGAGAAAGATCGATAAGAATTCTTGTTTCACCAAGGAAACAAGAATCTGAAGCGGATATCTCAACAAGGTGAGATATCGGCTCTTCCTCTCATCAGTTCTAGGACTGACCTGTCGAGGGATCCTAAAACTATTACAATGGCCACAAACTCAAACAGCGGAAATTTCGGCAGAGTTTCTGGTGCACAATAAGAGAGAAAGATCGATAAGAATTCTTGTTTCACCAAGGAAACAAGAATCTGAAGCGGATATCTCAACAAGGTGAGATATCGGCTCTTCCTCTCATCAGTTCTAGGACTGACCTGTCGAGAGATCCTAAAACTATTACAATGGCCACAAACTCAAACAAACCAATTTTACGTGGTTCGGCAAACTGCCTACGTCCACGGGGCAAGGAGGGGGGATCTACTATTAGAGAGAAAATACAATAGGTTTACAATCTCACAAACTAAACCCTTAAACTAACTCTCTAATCTCTCACAAAACAGCCATCAAATAGGATTTTTCTCCTCTGCACGAAGCCCAAGAAAAATCCACAACTACCTTTTGCACGCCGTCCAAGCCTCTGCCTTTTTCACCTCTGCAGCCGCCAAGTCTTCTTCCTCCAATGCCTGCTCTTGCACAAAGACAACGAAGAGAGACAGCCGCAATTCCCCAGCGCTGCCAATTTGCCTCCTTGCACACAAACCCTAGGAAGAACCAATAGGTATTTATAAGCTTCTACCGGGTCTTCGGGTGAGCCTTCTTTTGTCCGCTGGATCTTCATCTCTCCACGCGGTTTGTGGGCCATCCAGGAAACTTCGGGTGAGCCTTCTTTTGTCCGCTGGATCTTCATCTCTCCACGCGGTTTGTGGGCCATCCAGGAAACGAAAACGAAAAACGTCTGCTTTCTCATCTGTTCACGAAGACTTGATGCAGAAGTGTGGCCCCCACTATCACATCATGTTCCCACTTCATTCACAGCCAAAAACGCATTCACTTCTCTTCATGCAGACGTGGCCCATGTGGCCTCTACTCACGCCTCCCAACAATTCTCCACCTCGGCGAAGTTTTCACAAAACTGAGCCGACACCAACCAAAACAAATGCCTCACTTGTTGTGTCCAGTACGAAGCGAAACAATTCACGACAACGGACTCAATCCATAACAAGTCGAGAACCCAAATGAGAGTGCAAACACTCTCCAAATATCGGTATCAACTCACCAAATCGATCTCACCCCCATCAAAATCCAAACCCGGCTGCATCTGGTCGAGAACCCATATGAGAATGCAAACACTCTCCAAATGTCGGTATTAACTCACCAAATCGATCTCACCCCCACCAAAATCCAACCCGGCTGCATCATAAAGATTGCCTACGTATCCTCTTGCCCAAGGAATCAAGCCGAACGTAGTTCACCCAAATGGCCTCCAAAGGCCTCAATCCAATAGAAGAGTTCACAATCCTTCTCCAATATCATCAACTCTGCGTCTGATAGCACCTCCAATGGCCTCAAACACCTCCACCTGAGGTGAACCAATGGTCATATCCAAACTGCATCTATCAGCTGCACTCGAGTCAAAACCCAACTCATCATCTGCATCCGAATCCAAATGACTTCCACGCTGTGTCACCTCAGCTGGAATCCCAACCAATGCAGAATGACCTGGAGTAATCTTCATCCAATGTGGAGTAGCATCACTCTCCACCCGTTGCGATACCTCTAAGGTCTGTCCAAAACTCTCCACCTGCTGAGAGTCAATTGGCTTCCTCATCGAAGCTTCAACCAAAGTGACACTACCAGACCTATCTTCCAATGGAGTTTTACCTCCAATCACAGCAGTTGACAACTCTTTAATAGGATGACCCAAATATGTCGAAGCCTCTGTCCAGAAACTCTTCTGCAAACCATTGCTCGACCACAAACACCGATCCTCCTACAGCAAGGCACGGTTCTCCAACAACGAAGTGTCTCGAAATACCGTGAGCTCGGCTCTAATACAGAAATAGGTCCATCTTGTACCTCCCACCAGAATGGAGTACCTTCACCTTTCTGTCTATTACACACTTCTTCAATCTGTTGGAAACTACTAGGACTTTCTCCAAAGGGGATTTGGTTGCAACCCAAACACGCCTAGAACAGCCACCAACAAAGGAAACCAAACGCCTATTACCTCCCAATGATGTCCCCTTGGAAGGCCCCCAAACATCCACGTGAACTCCTCCAGAACGACCCTTAGCACGGTGAATAGAGGTGCCACACTTCACCTCGGTCTTCTTGCTCACATCAACATGTTCACTGGACTTCAAACTGCAGGTCTTTGCACCCTCTTTCAATCTATGCGAGGAATCAATACTGGAATGGCCAAGCCCCAAATGCCGCAGTCTAGTCGAATCAACAGAAGTCGTCAGCTCTCCACCTGCCACTATACCTCCAGTCAAGTAATACAGGTTATTTCTCCTGACGCCCTTCATCAAAATACGAGAGTCTCTCGCAATCTCGAGAACCATGTCCTCAACACGAACCTTCAGACCCTCTCCAACCAAAGCTCCAATCGAGATCAAGTTCTTCCTCAAAGAAGGAACATATCTCACATCGTTTAACTCTCTAACAGTCCCGTCAAACATCTTTATGCGAATTCTTCCTATCCCAAGGATCTGGCATGCACGGTTATCAGCCATGTACACCACACCACTATCCACCAGCTTCTCAAAACTGGAGAACCATTCCCTTCTAGGGCACACATGATAGGTCGCACCACTATCCAACATCCATTCAGATTCCTCCGAATAGCTATCTGTAGGACTGATAGAAAGCGAATAAATAGAAGAGTCAGAATTATTACCATCCGATACGATGTTTGCTTCTGATGATGGTTGCTTCCCTTTTCCCTTCTGCTTATTCTTCATCCATTCGTCGAGCTTTGGGCAGTCTTTCTTCCAATGACCAGTCTCCTTGCACCAAGCACACTGATCTTTTCCAATTCTAGACTGTGACTTCCAATTCTTTCGGTTTGGACCCTTCCCTCTTGCGACCAACGCCTCCGCTACCGGCTCAACCGAAGCCTCCTTATCCTTCTTTCGAAGCTGATAATTCACAAGTGCAGCGGTGACTTCACTATACGAAAGTGATGCCTTCCCATTAATCAGAGTAAGAACGAAGGTCTCATATTCCTCGTCGGGCAAGGAACTCAACAACAGCAACGCCTTGTCCTCATCTTCAATCTTGACATCCACATTCGCCAAATCCGCAAGAAGCTTTGTGTAGTGGTTCATGTGATCTCTAATGGAGGTTCCCTTCTTCAACTGGAAACGATAAAGTCTCCTCTTCAAATGCAAGCGATTTTCCACACTCTTGGTCAAATACTTGCTTTCGAGAATCTCTCAAATCTTCTTCGCAGAAGTCTCATTCATCACATCATATTTTAGATCTTGAGTCAAACAAGACCTAATCACACCACACGCCGTTCGATTCATCTTCTTCCAAACCTTCTCTTCAATCTCATCTGGCTTGCCATCTAACTCCAAGGTATCCTCCAAATTCTGCGCGTTCAGCGCATCCAAAACCTCGCATCTCCATAATCCAAAGTTGTTTGTGCCATTAAATTTCTCCACATCTATCTTCATAGAGTGGATATTCAAACTCTGAATAGTCTTCACGCCAGAAGAACCACCCTCGACTCCCGAAGCACCTTCTTTCCCCGACATCTTACGCACCAACGAACAAAGAATAGATCCAAAACTGAAAGATAGAGTCTTTACCAAAAGATCCCACCTTTATCACCAACGAAGTCCTAAACGGGCCTCCAAATTGATCTACTCCTCCAACCAAACCCTAGATCTGGAATCTGGGCTCTGATACCACTTGTTGTGCGCAGCGGAAATTTCGGCAGAGTTTCTGGTGCACAATAAGAGAGAAAGATCGATAAGAATTCTTGTTTCACCAAGGAAACAAGAATCTGAAGCGGATATCTCAACAAGGTGAGATATCGGCTCTTCCTCTCATCAGTTCTAGGACTGACCTGTCGAGGGATCCTAAAACTATTACAATGACCACAAACTCAAACAAACCAATTTTACGTGGTTCGGCAAACTGCCTACGTCCACGGGGCAAGGAGGGGGGGTCTACTATTAGAGAGAAAATACAATAGGTTTATAATCTCACAAACTAAACCCTTAAACTAACTCTCTAATCTCTCACAAAACAGCCATCAAATAGGATTTTTCTCCTCTGCACGAAGCCCAAGAAAAATCCACAACTGCCTTTTGCACGCCGTCCAAGCCTCTGCCTTTTTCACCTCTGCAGCCGCCAAGTCTTCTTCCTCCAAAGCCTGCTCTTGCACAAAGACAACGAAGAGAGACAGCCGCAATTCCCCAGCGTTGCCAATTTGCCTCCTTGCACACAAACCCTAGGAAGAACCAATAGGTATTTATAAGCTTCTACCGGGTCTTCGGGTG